TGGCCAAGGCATCATCACAGGGCAAATACTGCTGCCCTAGGAAGACTTAGCCTGTTGTTACAATGTATCTTCTTTAATAGCCTTCCTCTTGAGAAAGTGGGGATGTTTCTTATATTGTTCACCACTGAATCCAGTCAACACAACACATTCAAGAATATTTGCTGAAAGGCTGTATGAACAAATAAGTAAAGGGTATTTGCTGAGAACTATTAAACTATTTACAGAACTTGCATGCAGCCTCAATTCTTTCATTTAAGTAATGTTTTCTTTTGATATTCTTAAAAGTGGATGGCTCTAATTAAAACAACACAAACAGATAAGTGCTGGTGAGGACGGGGAGAGCCTGGAGCCATCATTCATTGCTGGTGGGAAGGTAAAATGGTGCAGCCACTGGAAAATAGTTTGGGAGTTTCTTTAAAAGATCAGTGATTTACCTTATGACCCAGAAATTCCACTCCTAGTAATCTGAGAGAAATGAAAACATGTTTCTAATGAACATATGCAAATGTTCATAGCACCATTATTTTAATAGACCAAAACTGGATAAATCCAAATGTCCACTGACAGATGAATGGATAAAATGTGGTCTATCCACACAATGGAATACTATTCAGCAATAAAACGAACTTGATACGTGCTACAACATGGATGAACCTCAAAAACATTCTGCCAGGTGAAAGAAGCCAGAAGCGAAATGTTATATATTGTAAAATTTCATTTATGTGAAATGTTCAGAAAAGACCAATCTATAGAGACAGAAAACAGAGCAGATTGCTGGGGGCTGACAAGCATGAGGGATCTTTGGGAGGTGATGCAAATGTTCTAAAATGAGATTGGGGTGAAGGCTGCACACACTGAAAATTTACTACAAGTCACTGAATTGTACACTTAGAATGGGTAAATTTTCTGGAAGCAAATTATAGCACAATTAAATGCTGTTTAAAAAAAGTGGTAGGTCTGTGTCCCTTAAGGTAACCAGTGGGGATTAAGTGAGCCCTAGATCTCCACCTGAAGGAAAGGGAAATGCTTCCGTGGGGCCCAGAACGAACTCCTGCTACAACATGCTGGGGGTTTCCTGGGTGAGAAGTGAGAGGGTGCAGCACAGAAGAGACTGGAAACAAGGTAATGGCCAGATGTGGAAGGGCCCTTTGCCTTCCCTCCAGGTTGGGCTATCTGCAGGTTGGAATGCAGCCTGTTAACGTCATCCTGAAACTGACGAATGTCTAACTTGGTGCTGTGGCTGAAGTGCATCTTTGAATTATTTGAGAATCTGTCAAGCAAATGGGAAATGGAAACCTGATAGGATGCTTCCTACACACTAAAACCATTTTTTCAGGCAATTTGTACATCAGTCTCTTCAGTCCTTTCCTTGACTCCTATAGCCTAATTTGAATTATTTTGTGTATCTTAAAGTAATAGTGAGTTTTCTTAACAAAATTCTATGGTTCCACACTTATTAGTTTATACTGACTTTCCCCCAAAGAGGTGGTTGTAGTGCAATTTTCCAGTAAAGAGCGCATGGTGAGGAGACAAAGCATAAAATGTAGTTTAAAAAAGTGACAATAAAATGATTGTGTACACCCTAGAAAATAAAGCCATATGAAAGGTACTGAAATACAGAGAAGTGAGTTATAGACAAAGCATTGGGAATGAATAGGCAGTGCTGTGAAATGTGGTGTACCATTACTGTCCAGTTCTTTAGAGAAAAACAAGAATGTACAACATGGAGCTGACATGGATGGGGGGCAAAGCACAGGGAGGCGCCGCTGCCTTGCCTCCCCTGAATTGTTTTTCCTGTCTGGACAACCTCTCCCTTCCCACCTTCCCCTGATACGGAGAAAGATTCAAGCAGGTACCACAGCTCATCTGAACTTAGGTCCCCAGTGGGTGCAGTAGTGAGTGGCACAGGGTCTCATTCTGAGCCAGGGTGTTGCAGTGTCCATGCTGGGGTGAGGGTGTTGTAGTGGCCTTTGGAGTTCCAAGGATATAGTCATTTGTTCCTACCCAGAGGCCCTCTGGTTAGAGGCATATACCCCCAAGGCCTTCCAACACCCAAGGGATGGTTTTAAACCAATCTCTCTGCCTCTGGGCAACATTTTTTATTAAACCCTCAGCACTTGGGACTGGGAAAGAGAGTGAACAGGACAAATTAGTGAAGAAACAGTACTGAGTTCAAATGGTAACTTGCCCTATATTTTAAAAAGCATGCTTAGAGCTGAGACAAGTGTTCCCATTCCCCTCCATGCACTCACTAGGTTTCTCCCCACCTATGCCTGCACAGCACTCCAGGGCTGGGGTCTCAGGGAAAGTGGCACTTTTGAGACGTTGCCAGTGGCAGTGCACATGACAGAGCCCTGTGGGGAGGCATGGTGGCACTACCTGCCACCTTACAACTTGTGCCCTCCCCAGCGGGGCCACTGCCAGGAATCCTCCTGCAAACAAGCTCCCATCCATTGATAGGCAAAGATCCTGATACACAATTACACGAAACCAGCAAGGCAGGAAAGTTTGCAGAGGTCAGCACTTATGTAAAAAATGGAATCTAAGAACGTATAGCTGTATTTACTCACATTGCGTTAATAAACTGGGAAGACACACGAGCAGCCAGTAACTGTACTTGGAGGGGGAGCACAGAAAAGCTGAGCAGAGGGGTGGGAGAGGGACTTCTCAGTGTGTCTTTGAACTACAGGAATGTACTAGCTTTTCAATAACTACATGAATGAAACAATGAAAGAAATACAATAAGACTGTGAAAGTGCTATTGTCCTATGTGTGAACACCTGTCCTGTGCAGGTCAGGTGGCCTATACCCATGTCTTTTTGGACTAAACAAAGCACTATGCTTGTAAGAGGCCGTTACTGGGAACTCACTAAGTACCAGGCCAGGAAATGCTTAGTCTCTACTTCCATGGGGGCTGAGGGAGAAAAAGTGGGCGAGGGGGAGCAGAGATGACCTTGGGAAGTCATTTGGCTTGCCATGGCCTGGTTTCGCGATAGTGCTCTGAAGTAAATCTACCTCGACACAACCTTCTTCTTAAAAGTTCATCTCAAAAAAGATTTTAAATGTCCCTGCAGGAAACTCACATAGAACCAATGTCTGTGTAAGATTCGCCTCAAACATAGTTGTAAAATCAGACCAAAAATAGCTTGCCAATACTGAATCGGAGGCTGTGCACATTTAAATAGTGTTTCCCTGTGAGAGAACCAAGGGGTTTTTCCTGACTTAGTGGGAAGCTGTCGTATGCTGTAGTATTTAGTCAAACACCCTAAAATTAGTACAGACAGGCTAGCCATTCTCCAAAAGACTATTTCAATGAGTATTATCAGAGAATAGGTTTTCACGAGGTCTTTGTGGCTTCCTAGGACTTGGTTAAAGTCATTACAATTAAATGAGTTACTCAGTAGCTGTGGAAATCTCCCTCTGTGGGAAGAACAGGGACAGGCATGCAGCTGAGTGGATGGTATGAGTGACATTTATCTGAATCATCCCAGTTAGCTCTACATCTAATTGGTCTGGAACATCCCAACTCAGTTACTTTTGTTCAACTGTACCCATTTTAAAAGCTCAATAATCAAGATGCATCAAGATTTTACAATTAGAATGAGTGGTAACAAATGCTATATTTAGCCAAAAAAAAAAAAAAAAAAAAAAAAAAAAAAAACCCCTAATTAAAACCTCCCCACTTGGCCAAAACACCCTCCCGATGCGTTTCTGTAGAATCCCTGCTGCTGGCTCTGCTGTCGGGCTGGGCATCATGGTCCTGTCTGGGGCCGAGTGACTGACTGCACTGGGGCTGGCTTCCCGGACTCTGCTGGGGAGAGCGCCAAAAGGGCTATTGCCCATTTTTTATTCTCAGGTCTTAACTGAACAGTTAAACCATCACGTGTACCACGTTAGAGATAAAATTATCAATAAGTTCCTCTTTCAGATCAGGAAATGAGAAGTATCTTCGTTCAACCCTGAGTCCTTCCCATATGTCATCACACCGCACTTGCCGGAAGGGGCTGGGGCTCCCAGACCTTACCCACGTTACATCACTTCCTTCCGCCCAGCAGTCAGAGTCTGTCCTGGCTTCAGGCTGCACTTAAGACACTTTATTTCATCTCTCTGTGTATGTGTGGCCCTGTCTGTGAGCAGCATTATGCTAAACAAAGCAGTGGGTGAGGGTACAGGACGGCGCGAGGTGCTGGACAGTCAGACTGCTCAGGGGCTCTCAGCGGGTCCCCACTGCAGCCTCAGCACCCTCTGGGCACTTGTTAGAAATGAACCGTCGTGGCCCCATGCAGTCCGGCCTGGGAGCGGGGAAGGCAGTGCTGTTGTCTGTAACCAGCCCTGCTAGTTAAAGAACCATGGCCCACGGCATGTGAAGCAAATGCCTACCTCGATGAGCCTGGCCTGGCCTCAGGGTTGTGGACCCACTGCAGTAACCACGGAAGTCCCCAGGCCATGTTAGGGACAGGGCCCGGCCCTGGGGCAGCAGGAGCCTTGGCTGGCTGGCAGAAGCTCTGCCAGGTCTCACCAAGGTTCTGGCTGTTAGCGCACCTTCCCCGACTGGAAGCCCAGGAGCCACTCACTCCCCTGCCCCTCACAGGCGATCCTGGCCCAGGTTGCCCTGGGCAGGTGGTTGAAGGAGGCCAATTCTCCCTCATGGCCTCACCCCCCAGCACTGCTCCAGTGCCTTGGGACGTACCAGGCTCCGGGTGTAAAAATGTCAGGGGTCTTGGGGCCTCAGGAGGGGAGAGGTTTAAAACCAAAGACCAAGTTCACATCATCAGCAATTATTTAGTTCACTCCCCCAGACCTTAAGACCTTAACAGAGAAAGCAATGGAACTTGTTTCCACCATTTATCTGCCAATGTACACGCACATTCCTATATTTTCACCAGTCCTGGATAAGCACCCCAGGCTGCAAGGGCTCAGCCCACATTGTCACCGCCAGGCGTCTCCCTCATCCCACACCTCCAGTGCCTGACACCCTCATAACCTGCAGTGAGCCGAGCAAACGCTGTTCCACTTTATTGGATACACCAGGTGTGGGAGTTACAGGTGGGAGCTGTCCCATGTGCCGGACGTAGTGTGCCCGTGGGCCTTCTCACACAGGAGCTCTGAAATGAACGGACCTCACTTACATCAGTATAAACACAAGCAACCAAAATACAATCAGGTGGCATCCCAGGTGGGTAAGGTAAACAGTTAAATTACTAAGTCATTATTTTAAGCTCAAAATACTTCAATGAAAATGACATACAAAAACCATATAAATTACATTTAAGGTCTGTACATGATTCTAAGAAAACACACTACTGTGTGCTCTGTACAATATTGCTTCCTTTGTAACATTCCAAACCCAAGAAACACTTTTCCCTTGAATTCCAGATAAGAGGGCAAAATACACATGCAGGATAATTAAAATCATTTCACAAAAACAAAACAAAACCGCGTCGGTTTCTTCTAAGGCACATTTTGTTTGAAAATGGGACTCCCATTTTTCAGAAGCCCCTTTCTCACCAGCCCCCGGCAGGCCGAAGGCAGGGTCCTGTTCCCGCTCATCTTTCAAGACCGGCAGCTGGGCAGCGGAGAGATCAGCAGCTCTTTCAGCCGCAGCCAATGCCAGTCACTGGGAATCGCGAAGCCTAAGTTCAACTTCGCTGCCTTGCGCAGGCCTGTGGTCCCAGAGTTCTGCAACATTGGATCCATATGCAACATGGAAGGAGGATGTCATCTATTTTTCTTCAAAGCACAGGCACTGCTTACTTCTCATCCTCTTCCGGGGAAACGGGGCGACGTTGGGGGTCACTGTGTCCGGCGTCACTGGCTAGAGGACCCTCCTCTGACCAAAGGATGGCGGCAGCTCTGTGCCTGAGAGGACTGCGGAGGAGTGGGATCTCATGGGGTGAGGCTGCAGGAAAGCCCACGGGTCCCTGGGGCTCATGTCTCAAAGTGGCTGAAGTCTCTTGTGACTGCCCTGTGGCCCCACACCCCTCAGGCCTCCAGCTGGACCTCAGCCTCGTCCATCTGCAGAGTGTCGTTGTCTCCCAGCAGCTCGGTCTCTGGGACAGAGCCATCTTCCTCCTCCTCTGCTTCCTGCACGGGGCTCTGGGCCACGTCTTCAGGGGTGTTCTGCGTGTCCTCTGTGCCCTCGGAGAGCAGAACTGCCCTGTCGGCCACGGACGTGTTGGAGGGTGCAGTGGTGACATACCCCGTGCTAGTGGAACCGCTGCCACTGTGGTGGGAGCCAGGCTTGGGGACCATCTGGGCAGGTACCTGTTGCGGGGCCATCTGCATCGGGATCTGGACCGGGTAAAAGTTGGGCAGGTAGGCCCCGTAGGCCGGCACCGGCTGGTAGCCGTTGACGGGGATGTAGAGCTGTGGAGGGGGCACCAGGGGTCGGATCTGGCCCTTCATGGGGATGAACTGTGGCTGCGGGAAGGGCTGGGCCTTGGGCTTGGGGCCCCCGTAGCGGGCGTTGCTGACATTGCTGACAGGGCTGGTGCTCAGGGAGCTGGTCTGCGTGGCGTTGCTGGCGCCTGAAGTCTGCGCGGAGCTGTTGTAGGCGGACAGGTTGCCCCAGGCCCGGAGCCTGCTGTGGATGTCCTTGAAGCGGGGCCGCCGGCTGGGGAACTCGTTCCAGCACTCGATCATGAGCGCGTACACCCAGGCGGGGCAGTCGTCGGGGCAGGGCAGCACCTGGCGGCTGCGCACCATCTCTACAACATCCTGGTTGGAGTGCCCGCAGTAGGGCTGCAGGCCGTAGCTGAAGACCTCCCACAGGACCACGCCGTAGGACCAGATGTCCGAGTCCACCGAGAACTTGCCGTACATGATGGCCTCGGGGGACATCCAGCGGATGGGCAGCAGCGCGCTCCCCATCAGCTTGTAGTAGTCGGCGGAGTACACTTCACGGAACAGCCCCAAGTCCGAGATCTTCACACTCAGCTTGTCGTACACGAGCACGTTGCGGGTGGCCAGGTCTTTGTGGACCACGTGGTGGCTGGACAGGTACTCCATGCCCGATGCAATCTGTGCTACCACGTGCACGAAGTCTGGCGGCTCCAGGGCCGACTTCACGGTGCGGTCGTCGTCTGTGCTGCCCACGTCTGAGTGCGGTGAACGCATGACCAGGAACTCATGGAGGTCGCCGTGCGAGCAGTAACTGAAGATCATGCTGAGCGGCTGGTCCTTGGTCACTACGCCCAGCAGGCAGACAATATTGGGGTGCTGCAGCCGAGCTCGCAGCATGGCCTCATGGCGGAACTCCTCCCGGAGAGGCCCCTCCGCTTTGTCCTTCAGCGTTTTGATGGCCACCGCCTGGGTCGGCTCCCCAGGCGCTGGGCCAAACAGGTGGCCTTTGTAGACCTTCCCAAAGCGGTCCTCCCCAAGCTCCTCCATGAACCGCACCGTGGACAAGCTGATCTCCTTGACTTTGGCCTGCCAAGAAGAAAAGCCCGAATGAAACATTTCTGCCACTGGGATTGTGGAAGGAACAGCAGGGACGCTGGCGGGGCTCTACCCGCCCATTCTAGGGCTGTCTAGCGGACTTGCAGAGGACCTGGGGGTCCCACCTGTCCCTGGCTCAGTCTGCTCACATGCTGCTCTTTGCTCTTAAGCATGCCCTGATGCCCAAAGGCTGCCCAAAACCTTCAATGTGTCCCAACCATGCTGTAAACTATGTCCCCCCAAGTACAGCTGAGATACCATGGTAGAGTGAGTGTGTATGTGCACGTGCACCTATTCTCTCTCTCACACACACACACACACACACACACACACACACACACACACACACACACACACACACACACACACACACACACACACAGACCCAGCCAAGCTGAGCTCCAGCTGTCCCAGAGTCACCCCTGCACTCTCCCAGCTGGGTCCCCCCACCCAGGGCCTTTCCTCTCTGATATATGCCCACCTAGGAGGTTTAGCCACCATTGCTCAGCACAGCCAGACCCATGCCTATTTCTCTAGAACCCCGTAAGTGTGCACCCCACGATTTGTCATTTTTAGAGACCAGGCCAGCTGTTCTCCAGTGGCTCCTCATTGAGTCTGTCTTGTGGCTTTCTCTTGATTAGATTCTTTTTGTAATTATTAGTTTCAGGTGTACAAAACATAATAATTAGATATTTATACCCCTCACAAAGTGATAACCCACCAAAATCTACTACCCCTCTGACATCGTACATAGCTATTACAATACCAATGACTCTATTCCCTATGCTGTACTTTACATCCCATGACTATACATATATTTTTTAAAATTATAATTGACATTCAATATCATTTTACATTAGTTTCAGGTGTACAGCGCCTAACCACTGTGCTATACACTTTATTAGATTCTTAATTAGATGTTTTTTGATGGAAGCACCATGAGGGTGAAATCGATGTAAACCTTGCACCTCTCAGCTTCCAGTTCTCACCCCTTCTGTGCATCTGGCCCCCATCCTTCTTGGAGTTTCCTGACCCCAGGGCACTCAGTGTCCTCCTTGCCATTCCCTGCGCCCCTCAGCCCCCAAAACACTGAGTGACTCTTGGCAACAGAGCTGAAGGAGTCCACCTCCCCACTTCAAGCCCACAAGGGAATGATTTTCCCCTAAAGCTTGTAAATAATGTGACTGTCCTTTCATGTAGGCTGAGTGGTTGTGACAGACTTTCCCTGTCCTGCATTTCAGTGTGTTCTCAACATCCTGAAAACTCTTAGGGTGGGGGTGGCCTGCCCCCTACCTCCTCTACAAGATACTTGCTTTATCCTTCCCTGAAAAACAAAACAAAGCAAAGCCAACCCAACCCCAAACAGAGAGAACACAGGCCCCAGTCCCTTAAAAATGCCTGAGCCCCTTTTCTGGTGTCCCCTGTGGGGACAGCTGAAGCATTGCAGAGAGGACGGCTTAGCGATGGGGTGATCTAGGCAGACGAGAAGCTGGGACAGCGGATTCCAAACACACCTACCATTTATTTCCTAGGACACAAATGTGCTGAAATGTTTCAGAGAAGAAAGAGAAAAAAAGACTATTTAAAAGAGTGCTGTGTTGCGCTTCAAGTAAAGTAAGAAGGCTAACGGAGCAGGCAGAGGGCAAGCCTGGAGGAGCCGCCCAGAAACATGGAAGCCAGGAGACCTGCTTGTGCTGGCTGATGAGGGGCATCTCCACGTCCTGGCTGGGGGATGCCATCAGCTGCCGGCGTGGGGGTGTGGAGGCCGAAGCCTTCTGCTTATTCCGGCACATGCAGACCAAGAAGAAAAGGCAGGCGATGACCAGAGGGATGGCGATGCTCGGAACCAAGATGTACAGAATCCCCATCCTACTGCCATCTTGGGGACCTGTGAACAGCCAGGCTTCCGTGAGTTTTCAGAAAACACCCTTTTCAATTCTAAGTTCTCCACCAGCCCACTCCCACCTCCAACTACAATATTTAAGCACAAGCAAATAATAAGTCAGTTGCACAAAGGGACAAAATTACACACCAAACATAAAAAGAAAAAAAAAAAAGGTAATGTACCGAAAAAAGCACATCCTGTGATCAATCTGTGAGACTAATCCAGAACTGCCCCCATGGGAACAAACCAGGATATACAGCACAACAGACAAATTAACTCTAAAGGTCTTATAATGTCATTAGTAGCATCGCTCTTCCTAATGCTTGAACACCACTGGACAAAGGGGCTCTGCCAGACTTCATCTTAACGAAACTTGATGAAACATGTTTGACCCTTGTCCTGGGTGAGGGAAACTCGATACTGGGATTAGAAATAACCTTTTTCTTCATTCAATATTTTAGGATTGTCTACATATTTGTATAATAACATATTCTTTTAGGATAACGATTAAAGTCGCATTTGATTTAAATGAATACTGGCAGCGGATACGTTTGACCCAATACAATGTGTAGCAGGGGCACAAGAATTCTGCAAGAACGATGGTTACATATACAGCCTGAGGCTTCCAGGCATCTCCTCCATTTTCCCACAGTGAAGACTGCACTTTGTCTCCCCCTACAGGACGTACAGAGAGGTGCAGTGGGCACACCCCGCAGTCCTGACACCCGGAAGCAGAGCTGGGGGGTTTCCCTGGCAAGGAGACAGAACCCTCTTCCAGAAAGGGCCACTTTCCCACCCCCCTAACAGTTTTCTCCTTAATCTTGTGAATAATTACATGGGACTTGAGTGCCCCCATGACTAGTGAGTAATGAGCTCTCCATCTGAAAGCAGATAAGTGATTTCTGGTTATGCAGTTTCTGAAAGAGCTAATTCAGTCCTAAAAATGAATAATATCGCCACCCTAGTAAAAAAACAAAAAAACAAAAACCATTGTTCTAAACTCAGTATGGCCTCCCAGCATCTAAAATAAAAAAAAAAAAAGAAAAGAAATAAAATAAAGTAAAATAAAATAAAACCACACAGAAAACTCTCTGGGCCCACCTGGAGGCAGATGTTCTAGAAGCTTCAGGGGCAGTGAGGGCTGTCATTTTTCATTATTAGGGATAAGGGGAGAATCCATGCCCCTCAGGCCAAGATCAGAGGTGTGAGCACCATCCAAACACTTGAACAACCATTTATTTCATCATTATATTTTTAAAATAACCAACAGAACACATGCTTAATAATTGTAGTATTATAGAACAGTAAATATTCCGAACAGCCCATTTCACCAAAGGCTACGCCATTGTTAATAAGTTGGTGTTCACCTGATTTTTTTATACATATTTTAAGTTGAACATGAAATAACCACTATTCAATTATTTTGTCATACAGAAGCAGCAGTTTCATTTAAAAAAAAACAAACAAAAAACAAGTTTAAATAAAAGCGTATTGTCTATATTTCCCTGCTCTTGTGGCAGAGTAATCTATCTCGGATGTTCTGTGCAGGACAGACAGCTCTAGGTGTTCCTTGACAGCGGCAAACAGTTCCATGGTATCATCCAATCCCTTACTGGTAAAAAATTAGTCTGTTTCTTATTTAGCTATTAAAGGTGATTCTGCAATAAATATCTTTGCATTTCTGCCCTGTAAGTACAAATATTTCTGCAATATAAGATTCCTGCAATTGCTAGGTCAAAAAATATACATATTTTTCTTGGTTTTGATTTAGTTTTAATTACAAAATAACTGCTTATTATAAAACATCTTATATTTTAATATTTCTATAGATCAGAGGAAATCACTGCTAGAAGTTTGGTTTGTATCCTTCCAAAACTTCATCCATGAAACAGAGGTGCTTGTGTGTGTGTGTGTGTGTGTGTGTGTGTGTGCGCGCGCACGCGCGCGCACGCACACACATACACACACACACCTTTTGCTCATTTTGTTCTTTTGTGAAAAGAGAGGAAAAGAAGGGGAGGGAGAGAAGGAAGAGGGAGGAAGGAGAAAGGGGGAGAGAGAGAGAGAAAAAAACCGGACATAACACAGCTATTGACCTACAACGTTCTTCTTTCCCTTAACAGGACATCGTGAACATCCTTCCTTGCAGGAAACTTTTTAAACTACTGTACCATTCCATAGAGTAGCTGTACTATAATCTAACTACTGACATTTTCATTCTTCTGTGAACTTCTGAGTGAAAGGGAGTGCCAAGTTTGGGACTTGGAGAGGTAATAAACACGTTTTTTTAACTTCCATCACTGGAAGGGAGAAGGCATGCGGCCCCACCCCACCACCGGCCGGCCACCAGGAGAGGTTTCCAGGTGACTCGTGAGCCTTGATTTGCTTCACCATTAATCTCTCTTTATCAATCTTTTCCCAGTAATTCTCCACAAACCCTCTGACCCCAGGTTCCAAAATGGAAGACTTAGAAGGCAGCCCTGTCTCAGGTATCCAGGCTGACTAGAGCTGGTGGAACGTAAATATTGGAATACAGAGATAATAATGTTTGTAAAGTTAACTACATAGTCTTTTCCTAATCATAATTAAACAGAGAAATTGCAGGGAAAATGATTAAAGAGATTTAAGTTCTATTTTTCCCTCAGAGTGCCAAATCTGCGAGGGAGAGCTGAGTAGCATGGGAAGGGAAGGGCAGGGGAGCAGGGGAGGTGCCCCAACTGCAGATGGCGGGCTGAGGAGCTGCTGTAATGGGGAGCATGTTTATTAATATTGGAAAATAGTGTGTGACAATGTTAGTGGAGAAACAAGAGGCTGAATATCCCAGGACCATGACAGCAAAGAGCTGACAGGACCCCCAAATGCAAACAGCAGTCTCCACTGAGTGAGGAAACTGGGGGTGATTTGAACATGATTCTTCAGACTTTTCTCTAACTTAAAACGTCCTATAATGACTAGATATTATCAGCAACAGTTTTATTTAAAACAAACGATCATGGAATGGGAGTAGTGCCCACAGCCATCAGCCTACTGTACTGGTCCCCCATCACCACAAAGTGCACTCAACAGTCAACACTTTAAAAAAATGAGAGAGAATACATACTACAAGAGGGTACGTCACACAGTTCCATGCGTACGTTTTTATTCTGCGTGAAGCACCAGGGGCCTTCCATCTGCCCTCCGGGGTTCCGGCAGTAGGCGTGCCCCCCTCCGAGCTCAGGGAAGTCTGTGCTGGTCAGGTGGTGGCTGTGGGGGTGCTGCAGGGCCCACGGCTGGCACTGGTGCCCCGACTTAGTGGTGCTCGCTGTCCCTCTGTAATCAGTGCCCGAGCCATTGTAGCACTGATGGTCTAAGAGAGAAGATGCGTTAGGAGGCCCGGAAGTCAAGAGGAAGCAGCCCTCCTCGGGGTACCGAGAGCACCCTCCCTCAGCTCTTCCAGAAAGGCCAGCAAACCGCTTCATCTGCATGAACTCAAACTGGAGCTTCCAAAAGACCAAAGGATTTAAATAACTTCTAAGAAAGGCAGCCTTATTACAAATAATGACGTAATAAAGTCCCAGCTCACTAATTAAATTGGGGACATATATATGGGGAAGAAAAACTTGTGAGAAGTTATTCTATGACTCTGAAACCATCGTTGGGACCCACTAAGCACCCCCATTCCAGCATGAGAAGGTCAACCCCAACCTCATGTTCATTTGCACTGGAAGCAAAACCAGGCTGTGTGGGAGGGAAGAGGCCCTACCAGGCCTGGCCCACCCTCCAGACGCCTCCGCTACCCAGGGAGGACTGCTCAGCCACTCGCATCACTCCGCCTCCCCGGAGGAGTCCCAGAGCCGTCTGAGCCGGAACTGGGCGTGTCACAGGTGGAACAGCAGGAACAGAGTGCTTACTGTGCGGAGGCATTGTTCTAAGAACTTTCTAAGTAGTAACTCACTTCATCTTCACTCCAACTCCTGAGGTTAGTAGTTATCATTCTCGTGTAACACGAGGAAATTGTATTTAAGTAACTTGTCCGAGGTTACAGAGTAGGCGGTGCTGCCAGGCTCCGGCTTGAGCGCGGTGCGCCAGAAGACAAGACTCGGCTGCGGGAGGAGTCCTGTCTCACTCTGGGACCCTCAGCCTGGTCTGGGGAGTGGATGCTGGCAGAAGGAAGGCAGCCACTTCCGTGGGCTCCCCTGGAGGGGCCCGAGGCCTGACCTAGTCAGTGAGGACAGGTGCTTGTGCACCACGGGGCAGGTCTGGGAGCTGGCCCTGTCCCCCTGGAGCCTTTTGTGGCAAGCGGCCCAGAGATTACTCCATTTTACAGAATGAAGTCTGAGGCTCAGAGAAGTGGAGTGACTTACTTGTGTCCCCCAAACAGGCAGGAGCCAGCTGAGTGTGACCTGGAGCTGTGACTGAACCCCTTGCTCTTAAGCCCTACTGACAGCCCTAGGGTTCCTGGTAAGCCCGGGGCCCGGGTGGTGAGGCACGCGGGGCGTGGAGACTCACAGCGGCCCAGCCGCTCGGCCGGGATGCCGATGCGCATGCAGTTGGCGGCGTCGGGGCTCTCCGGCAAGGGCAGTGCCTCGCACTTGGGTAGCTGCAGCCGCATGAGGATGAGCGGGTTGGAGCGTGCGATGGTGTACTCCTGGCGGCACAGGTCACTCTCCAACACCTCGCACTCGTCGCGGCACAGCTCGCGTGGCTTGGGCGCCCGGGAGCGCGCGTCGCACAGCGGGAACACGAAGTGGCAGAAGGACGGGATGGCAAACTGCGAGCACTGGTCCGACAGGTGTGTGGAGGTGCCTATCATAGTGAAGGCCGCTGCGAAGGAGGCATCAGACCGCGTTAGGGTGGGCGCCGGCTCAGAGCCCCAAACACCCCGACCTCTGCCACTGACCCCACCTCTGACCTCCATCCCTCACCCTGCCCACCGGTACCCCCATCCCTCTAGCCTATCCTCTACCTCACCCCCTACCCAGGGCTCTCACAGGAGCAGGGACCCAGGGAGCGCGGGAGCCGCCCTGATTTGCACCAGACATAGAAGGTCCTAGGCTTCACTTTACAAACATCAAAAGCAGAATAAAAAATAAGGAAAACTAGGCCCAAGATCTTGTCCGGCTACATGCTTGTTCCATGACAGGAAGATTCCCATTTTGGACCCAAAAGCCACGTTTTCAGGCCCTACTATGAACTGGCTGGGGGCTCTGCTAGCGCAGGGTGGTAGGTGAAGTGGTGGGACGGGCGGTTTCTAGAAGAAGAGACTGGCAAAGAGGCACAAGGACCAGGCCTTGGTCTCCCAACACCCCGAAGCCTGCAGGGGAGGCCTTGGCAGGGATGGAGGCGGAAAGAGCATGCCAAAAAGATGGGCAGCCAGTCCTGGGAAATGCCGCAGGAGTCAGATGACAGGAGAGGCTGGGAGAAAGGGATCCTAGGATGGGGGTGTTGGGGAGAGCTAAGGAACAACTGGGAAGCTGGGAGAGTTTTGTGATAAAGGGGAGCAGGAAGCAGCCCTAGCAGAAGGGTCTGAGCCAGGGTTGGTTGGTTTGCGTTTGGGGGAGCAAGTCATCACAGGATGGAATGTGACAGACGAACTTGACATCTGACGTGAAGAAAGGAAGGAATGGGAGCTGCAGGGACAAGGTCTGGGCAGAGCGGGAGGAGGGCTGCCTGTGTGGCAGGAGGGAAGGCTGTTGCAGTCAGGGTTCAAAGGAAGGCGTCAGCCAGAAGGCCCTCCCTCCCACACTTTCACCTGTGAAGGATCTGCTTATAATGATTTGATCTTGGGCAGCTAGAGAAAGAGAAGCCCATCTGTCTACACACCCTGCTGAGAGACTGGAATGAATGAATCCCTGGGATGCCCCAGTTCCACCCATGACTTGCAGTGCGTGCCCGGTTCGGCCAGCAGGTGGCGCTGCTGGAGCCCATTAACCCAGGAGACCCACCAGGCACACATGGCAGGCTCCAGGTTAGATGCGCTGGGTGGGAGCACAGTTCTGGCCCTGCCTATTTACTGTAGGCATGTTGGTCACTCAGCCCTTTCTGGGCCTGTGTCTTTATTTGTGAAGTGATATGAATGGTCCACAAGGGTTTGATAACAGCTGTGTCCACGCACTGCATCTAGTGCCTGGTGTGAGGGTCACATTAGAATTGAGGAACAGAGGTAAGAGGTTAACGTGCAGGGCCTCCTGGCCAAAGAACCAGGTGTAAACCCGGCTCTGTCTCATCGTTGTGGAGTTGGCGACACCAAGAATGCTGGCTGTGACCCCCGGCAGGTAAAGACTGTCTAAGAACGCCAAACCTGGTGCTTTTATTGGAGTAGTCAATTAATGGGATGTTACGGCTGACCCTTTTTGGATTTCTCCTCCTCCCTCCCGCTTAGACCTATCATGTGAGGGCTTATTTCTGAAGGTATGAATATAGTTCTAGAAACCGAGCATGTCCAATAACTCGTCCTCACTTTCGTTCACACCCAGCACGTCATTCTGAAGCTTTCTTAGGGCCCATTCCCTGGGAAGCTCCCCGAGTCCTGCAAACTAGTTCTGACGCGCATGCTCTAAGAATCGAACATCACGACGCTGCAATGCGGTCTCCAAGCCACAACTGGGCAGTCTAGAGCACCTTCGAGGCCATTTTTTTCAAAACCCCACAAATCTAGAGGATCCTCATTTTAAACCATCCAAAAAGTGCTATATAAAATCAGTCGGCTTACATATCGGAGTTGCTTAATCCTTTAAATAATTCCTGGAAATAACTGATTCAATCTCGTGCGTTGAATCAGTGGTTGCCAATTAGTGGGATGTAAAATCCATTCTGAAATCTGTGGCTAGCATTTTAAAAGATAAAATCAGAACAGAACACAGGATGTCAGAGTGCATGGTTCGTGTTAAAGCTGCAACCAACTTTTTTCTTTCACAAAATAAAACTGAAGAGAAAAATCCGAGTGTACTGCTTTTGTTAAGGGTGAATGTCGTTTCCTGTAGCTGATTTCAATTCTATGAAATACATGTATGTGTATACTAAATCACGATGTAAAGTATACCTTTTACTGCGTGTCACTGTCAAAAAGTTTGATAAATTCTGCTTTCAATGACATAAAAAGCTTTCCAATGAGAGACAGCAATGTTTTCAAAACATTCTCTCATTGGGCCCTAGATGGTGTCTTCCGGGATCCTCTAGGTCCCATTACTGCCATTCGATTTCTCACAGGACACCTGGTCCTGTCCTCAGCGGGCTCTGTAACCATGGCCAGGCAGACCCTTGTGTGACTATGACCTTAGTCCCTCCAGACTGAGGGTGAAAGTCAAGGTCAGGGGTGACCTAAATGTAAAGGGACATTTCAATGACACCTACGTGAGTTTCTGCCTGGAAGCCTCATTCCTGCCCCTTACTAGGGAAGTACTTTGCAAGCCCCTCTGCAAAATCCAACAGACTGTCCTGGGGAGCCGTGCTTCTAGTGGGCAACGGGTCAAGAACTACTGTGTAGAGAACCCAGTTAATCTGGGGTATCTGCCTTCTTCACAGATTTTCCTGGTTTCTTGCAGCGTCTGAGAGGGAAATGCGTGCGTGTTTGTGGGGAAAGGAGAGACAGGAGGAGGGCTTTGCAGAGCTCTGGTTTAATTCATTTTCTGACTTCTCACTGGATTTCCCCCAAGACCTTTCCATCAATGTGTAAAAGTCAGTGTGTGGAAGGCTACCAACCAACCAGAGATGGGAAAGCCTAACAAGATGGGGGACAAGCAGCTTCGTTCTGGAATGACGTGCTCTGTGTTCATGCTGTGCAGACTTGACTGTCCCTGGGAGTCGAGGGTGGACACAGGTCTGAGCTCATTGCCGCATTTCCACGCATGGCTCATGGCTTGCAAACTTCTCTCCCAAACAGCTAGAATAAGGCCAGTGCACCTTTTAACCATGCACAGTTCTAAGAGGTTGCAGAGTAAGGAAATGCAGGACAAAGAAGTGGAGCAAGTGTCGCGGGGGCCAGGCTGCCAGCACCAGGGACAGGAGACCTGGTGAACGCAGTGAGGACAAGACCACTCAGGGCTTTGGACCCACACGGTTGGCTTAAGTCAATGTGTTAGAGGTGTATACTAAGCAATTTGCACTCGTTAATTTAAACATACAAAGGGGAACCTTTTAGGGTAAACTACGGCAGCAACTGCAACTGCATCTAAAAAACGTCTGATTTTCTGTGGCCAGAGACATGGAGCAGGGACACATTGTCCAAGGTGGTCACCGATAACACACGGCGGACTACGTGCACAGGGACTGGCGGCGCATGCGAGCTCACGTCTCCTCAGGAGGCCTGCGCGCCTACCTGTGATCCGGTTCTCGATCTCCCCCTGCATCTGGAGGGAGTCCACATAGATGGTCCGGTTCCCGATGAAGCGTGCGCAGGCGATCCCCCGGTAGGGCTGGCAGAACCCGTCCTCATGGTCATCATCTCTGGGAAACACACAGTCTTGTTTCACCGGAAGTGTGAGTACCCCTGACTTTTTTTTTTTTTCCAATCTGACACCTTATGACCTAGCTGCCATCTTTTTCCTTGGTATTTACCCTGGTGAATGGAAAACGTATGTCCAGACAAAAACCTGCACATAATGTAACAGTTTTATGCATAACTGCCCAAACTTGGAAGTAACCAAGACATCCTTCAGTAGGTAAATGGATAATAAACTGTGGCCCATCCAGACAGTGGGATATTATGCAGCGTCAAAAAAATGACATGGAGGAACTTTAAATGCCTATTGCCAAGGAAAGAAGCCAATCCGTAAAGGCTGCATACTGTATGATTCCAACTACATAACATTCTAAAAAAGACAAAACTACAGGGACAACAAAAAGATCAGTGGCTGCCAGGGTTGGGCTGGGGATGGGGGTGGAGGGGGTGGGGGGTAACCATGGCCAGGCAGTGGGTAGGGATGGATGAATAGGTGGAACGCAGAGGATTTTTAGGGCATGGAATTGCTCTGTATGACACTATAATGGTGGATATATGTCATTCTACATTTCTCCAAACCCATATAGAGTGTACACCAAGAGTGACCCTAAGGTAAACTATGGACTTTAGTTAATAACAATGTATCACTATTGGCTCATCAATTGTAACAAATACACCCCACTAATGCAAGATTTATCAATAGAGGAAATTTGGACATGTGCATGTGTGTACATGAGAACTCTCTGTACTTTATGTTCAATTTTTATGCAAACCTAAAATTGCTCTAAAATATAAAGTCTATCAACTTTTTAAAACACCCAGCATCTTTAATGGGGGATAGAACCAGGGGAGGAGTGAGTGTGAAAGAGGAATTATAAACATGAAGTGTGCACGAGTGAGTACGCATTCATGTACATGTACAAATACACACAAAATGTTAAATGGTAACATGCTTTATCTCACCCTTAAACTACATCAGAAACATTACTGCAAACCCTTATACACTTCCATTGTTTGCAAACGAGGCTTTTAGGGAAATGATGAAAATCCAAAATCTGTGTTCAACCTTTAAATTGTAGGAGAGAAATCTTTGAACTGGAGAAAAACAATGGAGGGGATGCCAAAAGCCTGGTCCTTGCAGAATTTGTACCAGGAATTGTGCTTCTTATGCCACAGAGGCGTGACTTTGTCACTGCTACACAGACAGCACAGAGCGCATGTGTAAATATGGGGGACACAGAAGGAGACTCGGAAAAGCATGGCCTCCCTCTTGGCCCTGCCGTCTGGACTTCCCAGGGCCTGCAGGGAACAGCCTGCACAAGTCCCGTTTGAGTATGGGATAATTTTTTTGGCAGAACCGTAGTCCTGCCTTCAGCTTCGAAGTTTAGTCATTCAAAGTACCCAGATGCTTTTCAAAGCGACCCTCAGAATGCTCCAAGGAGACAGTACGAGTGGACCACAGCAGATACATCAGGGCTGCTGTCTGCTGGGGGGCAAAAGAGAGGGAGGGACCTGGGGCTCCCAGGACAAACTTTTGACAAGGGCACAGACCTGTAGTAAGTCACTTATTTTCTAGCAAATCTGCAACCTGCCCATAAGCCTAAGAACACTTGTCATTCCATCCTATACTGATTTGGACCATCCCCAAATGGAATCTGTATTCTCTCCATTTAACCAAATGGACTTCGAAATCCCTATCCCGGCTCCCTCACAAGGGTAAGATCTGCACACTTGTGACAGTGCAGACAATAGGTCTGGCAGAACACCCTCTCTACAGCCGCCTCTGCCTGATTCTCCCTCCTCTGCTGTCTTCTCAGTCCCTGAAGAAAATCTCTCTTTCAAAGAAAACCATCTGGAGCCATAAATAATCTAAGTAAGGAGGTTCTGACGTCAACAAGAGCCCGAGGCCCTTTCTCTCAAATTCGCTTTCTTTGGGACAAGGATTCCTTAAATATAGTTTAAATAGGCAAACACATGTGTTAACAATACCCACCCACCCAACCACCCCCCTGCACTCTAAGCTAGAATTAACTGTTGATTAAATCAAAACAAATGCCTATACTTGCCAGACACACCAACACAGGGAAAGTCAACTCTGCCTGGTGTGCGTGCAACGTGTCAGTTTGCAGGCTGGGTTCAGGGTGCTTGCCTACTCTGCCAGGAAAATCATTAAGATGTGTGTACTCTAATTAACGTCATCTACACCTAGGGTATAAGATTTGATTCAGTCAGTCCCCTCAGGGGACCCCAAAAGAGTAACAATTTCTTTTCTCCGCTTTAAGAGTCAAGGAATGGAAAGCCTGTTCCCTCACTTTGGGCTCCTCCCTGGCCACTAGTGAGGTGCCCCCTGGATGGGGAGGACAAGGGAAGTGCAGGGAACACTTGCTGAAAAGGGACTCGAGGCCATCACATCTCATCCACAGCTTACTCATCTTAGTGGACTTCCAAACTGAACTTCAGAGAATGCCCAAAATCCAAACAGAAGTGGCTGGAAAATGATGTTGTTCAGGTTTTTGAATTTTGAGAAAACAAGTGGGAAGTACTTTATGTTTTCAAACAGATTATGTTTTATTTTTACCTGGCATATTTTGGGATCTCTGAAGAGTGACATATCTGAAGAAAGTCTGTAAAACTAATCACTCAGACCAAAGGAAAGCTCTGGGACAGAAGGGGTCATCTGTAAATCCCTTAAGCCACAACTCAAACACATGCTCACCAAATTCAGAACATCAATGTTATGGAATTCAATGTTGGACATCTCCTATATTCCTAAGGCTGCCTAGGTACTGATCCAAGGCTTAATGACAGAGATGAAAAAGAAACACACCAAGAAGTTCGTGGTCAAGGAGGGGAGAGAGATAAATAACTATAATATTGGGTAAAACAAACAAACAAACAAAAGCAATGGGAAAAGAGGAGGAGATTGAGAGGAGAGGAAGGAATCAACATGTTGTGATAGGAAGTGCTTCTTCACAAAGGGCTGAGGAGATGGTGGGGCTGATCGCCAACCTTCTCCCCAAATGGTACATGTTAAGAACAAAAATTAGTTTCAAAAGCTTAGAAAAATTCATGGATATAAATATGAACGGCCTTTAAAGGAAAATAAGGCTCCTTTGAGGTTGAAAAGTAATCAATGCCAAAATTCAAATAAAAAAAAATAACCTTATAGAACTTCTAGACATAAAAATTATGGCTGTTGAAAAACAAAACAAGGGGCCAGCCGAGTGGCGCAATGGTTAAGAACTGGCCTGGGACACCAGAGGGCCCCGGTTCAGATCCCACATATGAGGGCCAGTGACACTGCCCTCTACAGCTAAGATGCTGAACAACAGAACGACAGCAACTTGTCTGTTCCCCTTCCCCCATTCCCCAATAAAAATCTTTTAAAAAAAAAAAAAAGAAAAACACAACAAAACAAAACAAATAATTCAAATATAGCTACATATTGTATAGGAATTTAACATTTCTTTCCCCCTATGGTTTGTGTTAAAAGTGGTAAAACCATTTCATAATTGTTTTTCTTATTATGAAAGGGTCTGTGTCTGCTTGAGTGAAGCAGAGGAAGCTATATGTCAGATTTGGGGTGGGAGGCAGAGCAAAAGCACCGAGTAAACTGAAGTTAATCACTTAACAAAGACTGAAGCTAAACTCCATAAGCTTCAAGTGATCTGACAGTAATCTAACATGCTGCTGTAATAAAATACTCTTCAGAGGAAGGTAACAAAATCTAGAGTACCAACCACAATGTTCTGCATACAATAAAAAATTACCAGACATGTGAAGAAACAGCAAAATATAACCTATGGTCAAGAGAAACCAACCCAAAGATGGCCCAGATGTTAGAATTAGCAGACCAGGACTTTAAGGAACTATAAGTATGGAAAACAATAAGCAAAAGAAGGTACAATGAAGATACAGGTAATTATAGGGGAGATGGAAACTTTAAATGAATCAAAGGGAAGAAATGAAACACACAATCTCCAATAAAACATGGTATTAACAGAGTGTATAAAACAGAAGAAAGTCAGTAAACTTGACAGGTCATTTGAAAATTTCCACACCGAAACCAAGAGAGACAAAAAGATTGACAAAAAATAAACAGGGCCTCAGTGAGCTGTGGGAAAGCACAAGGCGTCTAACTCATGTGCAGTCAAGACCCTGGGCGGAGAGGAGAGGCGCATGGTTTCAGGGAAAAGGTTTGAATAAATCATGGCCAATTTCCCCCAAATTTGATTAAAAAACAGTTACATACCAAGCAAGAAATGTCAGTGACAAGAAAGAAGGACAAATACAAAGGAAACCACACCTACACACATCACAGTCAACCTGCTGAAAACCTAGGATAAATAGAAATGGGAGGACATGACAAATAGTGGCTGACCCTTATCAGAAACAATGCAAAACAGAAAAGACCAGGGAATGACAGTTTCAGTGAACTAGCAGAGAAAATGAACTGTGAACCTGGAATTCCATACTCAGCAAAAACATATTTCAAATAAAAGGGTCTATTAATAAAAAAGACATAAACACGAATGCACCTAATATCAGGCTTCAAAATATATGAACAAGAATTGACAGAACTAGAGGACAACTCAGAAAAATCCACAATTATAGTTGAAAATTTTAACACCTGTCTCTCAGCAATTAATGGAACTAGACAAAAAAAAAAATAGTGAAGAAACAACAGTGGAAATAGTAACCACCCCTGTGACCTACTGGACATTTGAAGGACGATATACCCAACAAGACAGCATACGTTTCAGTGCACATGGCACGTTCACCCAGAGAGACCATTGCTCACCACAAAATAACTCACAATTAAGTTTAAAAGAATTGAAACCACACTCTAATCACAAAGAATTAAATTAGAAATCAATAACAAAAGATATTTAGAAATTCTGCAAATATTTGGAAATTAAATAGCATACTTCTGGATAACCTTTGGGCTCAAAAAGAAAATACAAAAAAAATTAAATAGGATTTTAAATGGAATGTGAAAATATGA